GAGATGTGGTGATGGCATCTGCACGTTTTTGAAGTCGGTTTTTTTTTAATTTTTAATTTCTAATACTTGTAATTTCATATTCAGAATCAGCGACCCCAAAAAATCCCCAATATACAGACGTTCATCTCATCTCAAACGAATCTGATATTTTGGCCAAAAAATAGACGAAACGTCCCATGGCACCGTAGATTTGAAATCGTTTCAGTAATAATAATAATAATAATATGTCAGTGTTGATTGATTTCGACAGAAACTGGCTTTGTTATGACTTAGATCTTAGATAATATGATGTACACGTTTTGCTAAGTAAATAAATAGAGATTTAGTTCACTAAATTGTTACAAAAGAGGTGTAGCGTATAAGCGTCATTAGGTATATCGTCATGCCTATAAGTAAGAAATTGGCAATACCGCAATTAAGTAAACTTGCAAAATATAGAAGTCGTCTATATTAAGCGCCATTAGGCATAGGGGTATGGATGTGGGTAAGAGTAAAAAAATATTCCATCTGAAAAACATCCGTCCTTAGAAGGTTGAAATATTAAACGTTTTGAAAAGAAGAAGAAAAAACCTTAATATTAGTGTAGGCGCCCAAGGAAGTTGAGTATGCAAAATGTGAGGACCGGCAACTATGCTCAAATTCTGTTAAACACCAAACAAAAAATAAACTGTATACAGATAAGCAAAGTAAAGAAATCATGATTTTTTTTCGACCTCCAGTTTTCGACGAATTTTTACTTTTTGGGGTCCCCTTTCCGTTTTGACTATCTGTTGTGTCTATTTGGTGTGTGTCTGCATCCACCATAACTCATGAACCGATACAAAGAAAAACACCAAATTTTAAACTTAAGCTTTATTCCGGCCTCCAGTGAACTGATTAGATTTTGGACAGAGTCCATTTGGGGGTACTTTATAGGTGGTCATTTTTATATTTTATGAAATATATCCGTTATTTACGTTTGGAGAAGAAAATTCTTTAAATAAAAGTTACTTACAATAGTATTATCTATAATTTTTGTGTTTTACAAAATTTTGCTAAAATGGTCCGTATTCGAGAAATTTGACAAAATGTAAAAAAAATATTTTTTATTAAAATTGTTTAAATAAAAGTTGTTTGTAATATAATTCTCTATAATTTTTATTCTATATAGATTTTCTCTAAAATAGACCGTATTCGAGATATTTGAGAAAATGTGTAAATTTCGAGTTTTGACGAAAACTCAAAAATGGATAAAGGAAAAAACATTAAATTTTAAACTTAAGGTTTATTTCGGCCTAAGGAAAATGATTAGATTTTGGACAAAGTCGAAGCATCTGGGGGGGTACTTTATGGGAGGCCATTTTTATATTTTATGGAATATATATTATAGAAAAATGTTTCGAGTTAAATGTATGTGGAAAATGTATATATTTAGTTTATCCTCTAAAAATTTATAGAGGTACTACAATAGGTTATACAAAATAACCGGAAAAGGCCTATAATAACTGGATAGGAAAGTTATGTGTTGGACACATCAGATATTTTTATTATGGTTATTATTTTCTTCGCGGAGTCCCCACAAAGGCTTGGCGGAGCCCCAGGGCTCCGCGGACCACAATTTAAGTAACGCTGTTCTAGATGAACTAAGCGAAATAGTCGTGGCTGTTTTTGTGTAAAATTTGAGGACAATAATTATATTTTGTAATATTATAGTAATTTGGAGAGCGTATATATTGCATTAGTAACACATGTCACATGAATAAATTTAACAACCCTAATGTGGCGTTCCTTAATTAACCGAAGTAAGATCTAGTCATGTAAGTAACACAAATAGTAACCAACTTTTATCGCAAAGTAGGTATTTATGTATTATTTATTGTTTTAGAATAAGAAAAAGGCTTCAAAACGTTAGAAAGAAGATTTGATATAGGAAGAAAAATATCTGAATTCTCATTATTGAGTTTGCACTCAACATTTTTAAGTAAGATATCATTGACCATTCATTTGGAAAATAAAAACAAAAATATGTTATAAGTAACGATCAAAATTAAAAAATATTTGTCATGAATATAGATTTACAATAATTTATCGATAATAGACTGCTGTAAGTGTAGTATCTTTTTAATAAATAATTTAGCGTAATTACATTGTTTACATTTTTTCACAAGAACATGATAGTGCAGTCGATATTTATACAACCTTTATTATCAGGTTTTTAAATTTTTCGCTGCGTTGTTTGTCAATGAAAGCGCCACATAGTAGGTCAGATGTTAACTGCGTTAATGCTGGTCATTGTTAAGCATTGGCATCTCATGAGCGTTTCCTATCTTTATCTCCCTTATCTCTGTACAATCATTTATAAATATTCAAAGAGCAGCAGATCGGAGAAAAGATGACATTAGTTAGAAAATAAAAAATAATATAGACTTTACTGAACAAAATAATTGTTCATGGCATTGAACTGGTAACGCAAGTTACATTAGTTAAGAGAATTAGCATTTCGTAAGGAAAATAATAACTCTATTTCCACCTCCTCTGCAGAATCAAGTGGTTCAGATACTCAACGTGGGGGAACAAATTTTAAATACTGCCCGAAGAAAACAAGATGATGTTTTCACAAAAATTGAAACTTTCGAATATCTAGCAGATTTATTTGCAATGGAAGTAAGGTATCATAAACACTGTTATCGTGATTATCTACGACTACCAAGAAATTCAGCTACTCCAGCAGGTAGACCTCCAAATAAAATACCACATGACATACTTATAGAGGTATTTGAAAAGCTGATTGATGAAATAAAGCATTAATTGACATCTTACTGTTTTAAAGTGTCACTATTGGCTAAGCGAATAACTGAACTGACTGAAATAGGAGCAGTTGCAGAAAATCGCACTATGAAATCACTACTCATTGATAAGTATGAAGAAAATGTTTTATTTTCGTATCCAACTAATTTTAATAATTTCTTTTCAAACACTGGAAATAAGTTACAGCTCTTTCGATTTCTCTGTACTGCTGCTCCTAGATATGCACAAGAAAAACAAGATTGCGAGTTATATATTTCGCTAGTACTCTTAACTTTACTTCACATGTCTAAACAATCATCTCTTTGCAAATAAATCAGTAGGATTTGTAAAACGTACAACATCAGAATTGGTAGCGTAATCTGGTATAATATGATAAATAAAACTCTAACTGGCCGAATTGAAACGATTCAAAACAAATTTTTGAAATATTTATATTACAAGAGGTACTAAACCTCTCCCGGTCATATGTCTTACCAACCAATAAGATCAGAGTTCAAAATTATAAAACTGGAGAATAGAAGACTCCATCACAGTTTTATACCTCTATATAAATTATGTAATCATCCAATTGATTCTCCTAATATATTAAGTAAAATCAACTTTTATGTGGCTTATCACAGAACTCGTCCCAGGGCACAACTATTTTTCACTGAAACCAACAACAACACTTCAAATCAAATATGCCAGTTATACATACATCACAGATCTCTGTCCTGGATTATTTGGAATAAAACTGTCCGTGTTTAAAAAGTATATCACATCCAATGTACGTATTATCTAATTATACAACATATATCTGTCTTTGTACTAGCCTCCTATATTAAACTATATTAAACTGTTTGTGGAGGATTTGATGATCCAACAAAATGTTTCAAATTACAAGGCTCTTCATTTTTGGAAGTATCTGACTTAAATTCTACCATTTAGAAGAAGATTCAAGGGTGTTTTGTCACATATTTCACGCAGTAAAAATCCGCTCTACCCATTTCATAATCCTTGGGCTGATACAGATGTTTTCAGCTTGTGAATTTATTTCTGGAATAAGCTAGCACGTCTAGGTTGTTTATGTCTACGATTCAACCGTTCTTATAAAAAGAAATACATGTCAGGATGTCATTTGGCTGCTTAATCCCGCGACGAAAACATTTGTCGTATTTTGACAGCATTACACTCTCTAAGTGATTGCAATTCGACTAGCAGATTGGGCTCGAAAAAAAAAAAGTTTAAAAGCTGCATCATTGGATTTTGTACAAAAAGCTCTATTGCTCATATCTTCTCTCTCTCGAAAAAAAAAACTGTTTATGAACGATGCCCTAATTAAGTTAGCTGTGGTAATTGGTGGCCAAATGTTGTATTTACCGCCCATCACAAATGTGGATTTCCTACAAAAGAAGCACTGAAACGGATATATTTACTGTCAAAGATAGAGCGTTTCTGCAAAGTGTAATGAGACTATACTCTGTTTTTAAACTAGCTGATTTTGGACATTTGTCGTTTTTGTAAAAAGGTCTTCAATTCATTTCGCTCTACATTTACATTTTTTGTTAAGAACTTCAGCACAAACATATGTATGGATAACTAATGCCCTATTGATTACACCTTATTAACCTATAAAAAAAGAAGTACCCACGGCGACTGGCAAAGCGACCATTGCCAGAATTGTTGATTCAACCCAGTAAATGTACATCAAATTGTCAAACAAAAGCATTTTCTTGCAAAAAATTACAACTAAATTGTATTTTGCTGCACAAATGTATTAATAATGACTGTCAAAAGAAAAAAAGATAGATTATTTGTATGACTTATGTTAAAATTTGCTTTTCATATTAAATAACTTTTTTATCAACAATTCTTGTTTTTATTTTTAGGCTTTTTGTTTTTTTTTTCTTTGACCAGCTATGAGTATCTTTAATCATATAGAACAATTGGCTATTGCCAAACAATCATTAAAATGGTTCCAAAGCATTCGTTCAGTGTATTTAATTGATATCTAAAGGGATGGGACATAAAAAATAAATGGACCAACAAACCTCCTGGCAACATCCAGAATCATAATCTGCAAGCTTTTCTGAGTTCAAAACTATGTACAGAATGCGGTCCTCATATTTTGCACACTCAATTCCATACAGCTCCCGCTCTATATCGAAAAAATTGCTGATTAATTATTTAGGCATAAAATTATATTTGTTTCTTATTAAAACGGATTATTTTTCAGTTCGAAACAGATGGCTTCGCAGTTATAGAGGGACTTTTTTCACCGCAAGAGGTCGAGGAAATGAAGAACGAGGCCAACAATTTGATCAAACTTATGCCAGGAGAATCTAAGAGGGCAGTATTTAGTACTACAGATTCTGAATCTCAACAGGTATGTAAGGATTATTCATACAAAGTCACTATAATGTTCTGTTTTGTAACACTAGTTGGTTATTTTATCTACTTTGATTAATGTGTGAGCTCAATTTATAGGGCGTGGGTTAGGTTTTTAAATAACTCTAATAACTTTGACAAAGAAGTTGGGCACCACTATATTTAAAGCTTATACAATTAACTCTACATTAGTGATAAAACTATAGAAAATCACTAACAAATTATACTTAAAATGTGCTTTAGATAAGGTAGGTATCAAATTCTAATTCACATAAGTTTGCACATAATTCAAATTTAAAACAATTTATTAATTAAATCAATTGCACTTATCTGTAGGTAAATTAGGTAATATTACGGTAAGTTAAAGGTAAAATCAGGTATTTCCTCCTTCGTCTCTAACTACAGAGGTACATCAATCTTAAACATTATACACCGGTCAGGCAACTTCCACCAAGTGATTCGGGATTCTATATCATAACTCCCATTCGAGACTGCACCGTGAATTATCTTTAAGATACCTGATTCTTATTTCTGTTCGAACCTGAACGATCTTCAAGATAATTGATTCTTATTGTATTCAAACCAAAAACCGTCTAGAGGGATAAAATGTTATGATAGATGAAGGGAAATTTGAAAAGGATTTAGATAAAATGCTTTAACCAATAAATGAATAATTTCACAGAGAGTAATATTAATATGAAAAGGAAAAATCTTATTTAATATATTTAAATATTTTAAAGCATAATATCTTATTCCAAAAAATAATATATAATTTTATATAGAGCTAACATGTGTTATTCAGATGTAGAGGTTATGTATAAAATTTGACAATCGCTCGAAAAATCATCGAACAAAAATATATATTGAGTAACATATTATTAACAAAACGCACCTTATAAAATCAGACGGTCATTAACATAAATAAATATAATTTAATGCTTCGGATGATCGAGATTAATCAAAATATAAGTAACCTATTCGTCGCTGTCTTTGAAATCAAAATGACCCGAAGGAAAAAAAGGTCGAGTATAGCTGCTCCAGGGGCATATAGATAGGACCTGCCTCTCAACTTATTAAAAACCTACTGGTGGTCGCTGAGAGGTGTCTGGAGACAGCAATCTTCCCAGCTCATCAAAGTCCTGCAGGTTATCAACTCATTAAAAAATATGCTGGTTATCGCTGGGGAGTTTCTAGGGATATCCAGCCTTTCAGGTCAAAGTCCTGCAGGTAAATAACGGCCTGAGATGTCTCCAGATGTCCCATTTTTAGAAGTGGCTATTTGATGGGCTTCTACCACACAAATGGTAAACTACCAAGAGAAGCCATTCTGTCCGCCTGATTCATAGGGCACCCATAATATTATGTAGTGAGGGGCACTATTTTAATAATCACCAGATGGTGTTCCAGTAACGCGAGGTTTATGGAATGACCTATCAAAAAACTTGTTTATTTTAAAATGTTAATATTATTAAACTTAATTTTATTCGAAAAACAGTTCTTAAGCATGTTCAGTGGAGCCCCTCTGGCAAGAAAAAAGTTTCCTTATCTAGATACCGATATCTGTCACATAAGCCTAGTTTCTTTTCGAATCTTCTCGGTGAACAGAGTGCGAAAACAATGTTATTTTGTGGAAAATGGAGTAAAAATTGTTATCTCTTTATAGGAAAGTAGAATTATCGGAAATATGGCAGGACTGTACCTTATTGTTTGTTAGTTGTGAGGAGTATGTTTCATTAAGACAAAGTGAGGAAATTACTATTTTAAATCGTTTTTATAGTATACACGATAACAATAATTAAATAAGAACACAAAAAAGAATGCTTGCAATTTCATCTTAGATTTAGAGAAAACACTTTTAAGTTATATCTCAAAGTTTGTTTTAAAAAAAAATATCTGGTCACATGGCCGAAATCTCTACACCGGAAGTGGCAAAACTGTATGACAGAAAATACTTGCAAAGTGATTTTTTTATTGTCATTGACATCTAGAAGCCAGAATTTCATTACCAGCAAAAAAAGAGAAAAATCCATCGATATGCAACTTTACTTTAAATTTCAAAGGTCACTTGACCGATCCCACTACCGGGACATAGTACATGTTGTTTATCCCCTCTCCTCTGTACCCAACTACAAATTGCAAGCATAAAAGACGACGTGCCATTTTTTGCATTCAGATGAGCAGGCCCGGGTTGTTTAACGTGATCGTAGTAATTTATTATATTTATATTAATGAATACTTACTACTTACGTGATATATCAAATGCAAATTAAATCACAAATAAAAAATTGTATTTATATGAGGTATGTCTCAGAATTAATGAGAATAATCTGTTTTATTGAGAGGAAGACTATGAGGCCTGCTTCCATAGCCCGAAAATTTACACTAGTGTAACAATAGCTAGGCTAAAGAACCACCTTTTATGAGTAACAACCAACATGTCTAACTACTATCTATGAACGCCAAGGCTTCACAAATGCTTGGAATATTTTATAAATGATTTTGGGAAAGGCGGAAGAAAATAATAATATTAATAAGTGAATAAACAGTAACATATTATATATATTAAAAAAAAATACAAAATTTAATAAAAGTCTCAAGATAAATTAAAACAATTTTATGTAGGTGTAAACTACACAAATAATTAAATGTTTATTTTACGTATGAAGTTTATTAATATTAAAATAACGTTACAAAAATAAGAATTATTAAAACAAATGGAATAACACAGTCTTAAAGAAATCGACTGCATTCCTCAACGGTGTTCGATAATCCCCCATCCAAATATTTGTCCCACTGACGCTGGGTTGTCTCTGCCCTGACCGCACGACCCTTTTCTCGACAGCTGGGTTTATGATGTTTCGATTTCCCAGAAATCGTCTCGGGTTAAGGGGCCATCCAAAAATAGATTACAGTCGGCCTACCTGACTTTTTCACGACCCCGTGAAACATGGTTAAACTATAACAAAGAAAATATATTAATTAAGCTGAAATTAATAAATATGAGCACGAATATTTCTATTCGTCCTCGGCTCCACAGTGTCGCTTTGCGAAAATGTCCCTTCATTTTGTCTGAAGGACAAATGCCCGTGTCTAGCTGTCCTACAACGTTCGGACCCTGGCAGTTCGTCAACCACGTACCGATCATTATCAAGTACTTTAGTAACTAGGAAGGGTCCTCTATAACAATGTTCAAGCTTTCTGCTCCGCCCATCATTGGGGCCTTTATTGCCTTGTACAACACATGTTGGCCAACCTTAAATTCCCGTAACGTTGCATGCCTCTTATCGTAATACTGCTTCTGCAGAAGCTACTGTTCTCGTTATCTGAGAAACATCATCTCTCAACGTCCCTAGGTCTTGGCGTTACTCGCATGTAACCTCTGACGTGAGAAATGCGTCACTTACGCCACGGGGGCGATAACCAAACAAACATTCATAAGGGTAGGTTGTACAACAGGCAGTTAAAATGCAATCTTAGTATGATGATCGGTTACTGTTAAATATAGTTTTAGAAATGACATTTGTACGGTAAATATAACCAGTTAAAAATTAAACTAATGGTTAAACTAAGTTTACATCATTCTTTGTACAACCTGTCCTAAGTGATTTTATGGTGGTGAAATTAATTGTCGAATTAATTCCAAACGTAACTTTGCTCACAGCTTCATCCCAACGGGATTCGTCTTCTACTTGACCGTTAGCCCGATGGGTCAAAGTAGTACATTCTACATGTTTAATACCTAACGTTAAATATACTTGTTTAACACCTTCAGTTAAACATACCTGTTTCTACAGTTAAACAGTATTCCTTAAAATTCTTTTTCATAAAATCAGTGTCACCGTCGCAAATAAAACTGCGAAGAACCCCGAATATTTCTATTACCTCATCTAGAAATTGCAGTACAGGCACCGGCTCAATTGTTGTATTTTTGTACCGCTTTTTTTTTTTAAAATACAAATTTCGTAAATTAAAGCCGTCAAGTGCTACGATGAGATAGGAGTTTTTCCTAATAGTCTTATACAAATTTCTTAAAGCCGTTAATTAATATGGTGAGATACGTGTTTTCCTAACACTCTTATAAAAATTTCTTAAAGTAGTTAATTGATGTGAAGAGATACGAATTTTCCTAGCACTCTTATAAAAATTTCTTAAAGCAGTTAATTGATATGATGAGATACGAGTTATCCTAACACTCTTATAAAAATTTCGTAAAGTCATCAACTGCTAAATGACCCTATCATGAGGATGCTGCAATGTACTAATATTAGAGTTATTCGTCGTGCTGTTTTCGGAATAAATCATCTCTTTCTTTTTGCTGTTTTTCGAAAGTCGTTTTATCCTTTAAACAGTACTCTTTATGAATTTGTCGTTCACCGTTTGTCATTATCTTTAGGATCTCGTGACAAAACATTGATAATATTGTTACAAGTGATGTCTTGCAGTTGTGCTGAAAGTATTCTTCCTCAATATTTACTATCATTACGTTAAATTATTCGGCTAACACCGGCCGATATAAGAGAAGCTCCTCTTGGCGACGTCAACTACATTAAATCTGTAGGTTGGCTCACGAGCTAGGAGATGCCTATCATCTAAGGAGGATACACAATAGACCTAATGAGGCCTAAGTGCCGTGGGGGGGGTAACCCACCCTCCACACGTTACAGATACGTTACAGATACAGATACGTTACAGATACAGATACGTTACAGATACAGATACGTTACAGATACAGATACGTTACAGATACAGATACGTTACAGATACAGATACGTTACAGATACAGATACGTTACAGATACAGATACGTTACAGATACAGATACGTTACAGATACAGATACGTTACAGATACAGATACGTTACAGATACAGATACGTTACAGATACAGATACGTTACAGATACAGATACGTTACAGATACAGATACGTTACAGATACGTTACAGATACAGATACGTTACAGATACGTTACAGATACAGATACGTTACAGATACAGATACGTTACAGATAAAGATACGTTACAGATAAAGATACGTTACAGATACAGATACGTTACAGATACAGATACGTTAAGTGATTTATCCATAAGTATAGTGGTACTTCGGCTCAGAGCGCCTACGTGGCTGATCTTAGTGTCATAACGATGTTTAATGCCAAAATCGAATTCTTGAATTAATAACCACTATTTGCGATGCGAAGAATCAAGTCTCGTTTCACATGGGTGTCACGAAGTAAGTTACAATCGGTAACGATTTTAACTTTATGCCACTTAAAACAGAACTTTTTAAATGCGCGTACAGCCGCCAAAGTTTCAAGCTCATGAATAATATTTTTACTCTCCTTTGCTTGTGGCTCTACTAAATATTATAGTAGCCTAAAGTGCTGTTATATTTACGTTATAGAAGTATTCCTACTGGTCCGACTTTACTGGTGTCACAATGTTCTTTAGTTTTCACTTATCTGTTATAAATAACATATATGGATCGTTCTACTAGCTTCTTTATTTTTAAAATCGCCGAATTTCGTTGATATCCTTAGGTGCTGCAAAGTATGCTACAGTGTCCTTGGTGTGTCGACTTCCATTCCGATTTGGGCTTCCTTTGCGGGTGTTTCCTCATCCTGCCTCTTTCTATGGGTCTTTCATCCTCCTCTCCATCATGGGTCTTCATCCTCCATCCACCGGTCTTCATTATTCATTCTTCGTTGTGGCTCTAAATATTTTGTTCATAATCCTTTATATAACAGTAGGAGCAGTTACCAAAATAAAAGTCATACAGTATGTACATTACAGGTTCGCTATCGGTTAGTGTGATCAACATTTTCGTAAGAGTCGTTTTAGCAACCTGTCCTAAATTAGTAGCGAAACAATACATAATATACTCGTTAAATAATTTAAGTAATTTAGAACGTTCAATGCTATTTAATTCTGAATTAGTTTGATTTTCAAGCTCTAATTATGTAAAATTTAGTAAATCAGCAATTTTGTTACTAAGCAAGTTTTATCTCCGGTACATGAAGAACATCTAGTAAGTATTGTCGTTTTCGTAACAAACAGACAGGAATACAGCAACAATTGTTCTTATTAATAACACACGGTACATTAATGTGAAAATGATTATCTTAATTTATATATCTTAAATCAACAAAAACATCTTAGCTCTACAAAAATATCTTAGATCATCAAAAACACCCCTAATGTTTTCATTTTTAATTGGAGAAATGTCACCTACAAAATTCTGCGGAATAATAGTAGTTTCTTCTACACATAAATTAATTTTCTTAGACAAAGACTCGTTAATATGTGTAACGTTGACGTTATTTTAATTAAAATACGTCATACTTGGTTACATTTAACGAAAACTGTAACCATATCATTGTTTAAAGATGGCTCACCTACAATAACAGGGACATCCTGTATATTATCCGGTACGTCAACAGTAGAAGTAGCTAAATCAACATTCAAAGTTGTCGTAACCTTTGAAGGTACTATAACAAAATCTTCCGCATAACCACACAAACGTACTAATGTGGGCTAACCCTGTAGATGCAACTTATGACTGCATCACGAATTGTAACTGCAGCACAACCCGAGTCTACAAAGCTTCGTATAGGTTCATCGTTGATAACACAATCAATGAAATAGCAAGTACTAGACGCCTGATTATTAGATAAAATTAAAATTGGTTTTGACTCACCCTTATTTTGTCGTTCAGCTGGTCTTTTACCTGCGTTTACGGTGCAACGCTCTGCCTGTGTCCTAACAGATGACTTTTTGTGCATTAAAAACTTTCCTCACGTATCATTAACAGATATTCTTCAAAAATGCCTCTGGTTTTTCGTAACGTCAGCGCGAACAGCATTTTAGATGGTGACTTGGGATTTCGTCTTAACAATCTCTCTCCAACTGTTTAATTCTAGCTTCGTATATAACTTTGTTGACTGGAACACGTATCTAAACCGCGAGATGTGCTTGGTATTATATTTTCTCGCGATATACATAACTATCGCTTTTTTATACGGTCCTTTTGTTAAAAGGTGAACTATTATCACTAATGTCTCGTCGCGTCGGAGTCCAATTACATTCAGATCGAGTACGCCTAAGATCGGTTTATAAATATGGGACTAAGAGCTTTGTCCATAGTTCTTAACACGATCATAACACGAAGATCTTACTAACTTAACACGAATCACTAAATAACTTATCTAATGATTAAATTCTTTTGTCACGTAACAACTCGAGTTATTGCACGCCCTGTATATAACGCCACTCATTCACGTCGCGTACGTTTTTCTGGTAAGCCGTAAGTTCACCTCACACCTGAACTGTAAACTACACAAATAATTAAATGTTTATTTTACGTATGAAGTTTATTAATATTAAAATAACGTTACAAAAAATAAGAATTATTAAAACAAATGGAATAACACAGTCTTAAAGAAATCGACTGCATTCCTCAACGGTGTTCGATAATCCCCCATCCAAATATTTGTCCCACTGACGCTGGGTTGTCTCTGCCCTGACCGCACGACCCTTTTCTCGACAGCTGGGTTTATGATGTTTCGGTTTCCCAGAAATCGTCTCGGGTTAAGGGGCCATCCAAAAATAGATTACATAGGGAATAAGCAACTTAACCAGCTATGTTTTGGACACTATTTAATAAAAGACTTAATAATTGATAATTAGACGTAATTACACAACATTATGACATCATAAACTTTCTATTGAATTATATCATTGAAAAATTAAACTATTTATAATAAATATTTAGTGATCAAACTTGGGATGAATAATGAAAAAATTGGCATTCATATGTCTAATAATTAATTTGTCTCAAAACAAAACCAAACAACAAATTTAAACGAACATGTAAAAATAATTAATGGCATTTTACGCTTACCTCTGACACAAAAATTTGCAGCACAAAATGTTTACCTTGTAACAAGATTAAGTGGCTTCGTCACATTGGGTTCCAAATGCACCGTCAGAATTAGAGCGGTCTTTCGGCCAGAGTTTCGGGCTCAGCCCTTATTCAAGTATCTCTTTTCTGTCGACTACGACTTTCTATTTAAATCAATATTTACGTGATAGTTCATTATTATTTTTGAGAATACTAACATGTAGTTACCTTGAATAATTTTTTAGTTAAATTTAAGCCATTGACTGCAAGGAGTATAACCTAGATGTTTGGTTTGTTTTTGATCCGTTACCTTTAGTTATTAAATATTTAGTTAAAAAATTTAATACTTTTGTGTGTTCTTTATATTTTATTAATAATAATGCCAATTATTACACTTGAACGTTTTTTAGATCTATTAAACTAAAAAGAATGCAAGCCTCGATTTAAGTTGATATTTATTTTTCAGAACAAAGACAAATATTTTTTGGACAGCGGTGACAAAATATCATATTTCTACGAACCAGGAGCACTAGGACCTAACGGGGAATTGTTGGTTGAACCAGAAGTATCCTTGAACAAAATTGGCCACGCCCTCCACGAATTGAACCCCGTATTTAGAAAATATACGTTTTCAGAGAAAATCAAAGAAGCCGCGTTCCAACTAGGCTTTGAAGAGCCCGTAATTCCCCAAAGCATGTACATATTTAAAAATCCCAAAATTGGAAGCGAAGGTAAGACTAATCTTAATTTGATTTATTAATATGTACCTAATGTCTATTACAATTTTTGACAAATTTATAGGCTTATTTTTAATATTTCGGACAAAATTATTTACTTTTTCAATTTAGTGAATTTGTACCCACTCGTTTTTTGTAAAACATACACTAAACTATGTTAAAATTAGTCATGTCTTACTTTTACTTCTGTTAATAATGAATGTATTTTTAAAGATTCAAAATATCTAGATAGCAGTAAACACTTCGTCTTGTCTTTTTTAGAAAATGATTCAACGGAAAAATCTAGAAAATTAACAAACGGTAAGATTGCAAAGGTTCTGCTTGTGTGAAGCGATATATTTCTAACAGTCCTATGCGCTAATAACAAATACATGTTCTTTTTGCTTCAACAATTTTGACGAATATCTTTAAATTAAATGGCGGAAACTTATGTTTTATATTTATTTTCACTTTTTTCGCTTTCTTTGGCACTATTATTGTTCTTGTAATATTTATTTTCATTTATTTTCTTTAGTATCATTCATTACTGTTCTTTTGTATTAACGTTTGGTTATTACAATAAATTATCATTATTTTTCTTTTCTCTTATTTTGACCATATACAAATAAATTTAAAACACACAGCACATTTTATCTAAGACCTTTCCTTACAGACAAGTAAAAAAAATCGGTAGTTTAAAATCAAATTAGAAAAAATAAAACTTCAATAATTCAGTACCATCTGCTTTATTTTGATAGTAATTTGGATTTCGTACATCTTAATCTATTATAAGAGACTACTATTATTAAAAAATTTACTGTAATTCTGATTTTGAAATATTGCTATATTTTATATTTAGTAACTGCCCATCAAGATGCTTCATTCCTACACACTGAACCATTAAAAGTGGCTGGTTTCTGGATAGCCTTGGATGACTCTACAATAGAAAATGGCTGTCTATGGATCGCGAGCAAATCACACACCAGTGGTGTACACAGAAGGTACATCAGAAATCCAGACAAAGATTCCGACGAACTTCTCGTGTATACTTCTGGAGCCCCATATTACCAAAAAAGTAATTTTTCTGCCGTCCCAGTTCCAAAAGGCAAGTTTCCTTATTTATTTTATTTTTTAGAAATATGTAATTGTAAATTTAAAAACTATCACGTTTAAAACTATCCAAACTAAAATCTAAAATAGTATTTTGAAACTGAATGCTATAAATCTAGATTGGTTACACACACTTAAGATTTAGATTTCTATGTTGTTTAACATAAAATCACTTGTAGTGGACGTGCCAGAAGAGATACGGGAAAATTTTGATATCGAGAAGAAAGATGGTTAAATGTTCTATATGGAGCCAAATAGCGCAAATAAATTCGAAAAATTAGTACTACCATCCGCAAGGTGGTACAATCGTACTTCTCGCTGGAATTTTGTCAAGTGGTATACGGGAAGTGTCATTTGCAAGGGGTTGGATTTAAAACACCTGCAAACCAGACATCGGACTACTCAAAGTTATAATTTTTTTGAAGAAATTTGCAATACACTTAAGATTGGATATAACTTACTTGATATTCGCTCCGTGCGAAGTCATGGAAAGGGAAGCAAAAGCGATACTAGCGCTAGCTGCGGATAATTCGTGCATTTTAGGGGGATATTTTGTAATTTTGGCATATCAAAAATACGTATACATTTTACTTTTTTTCAAAAAAGTAGGTAAAAACAACACAATAAGCAACCGGAGTTGCTGTGTTGAAAATTGTACAAATACTAGCAAAAAAAAACAGTGAAACTTATATAACAAATTTCACTAACAAAGTGGAAATTAAATCAAAGAAATAAATGGATAGGTGTACAATAAGAAGAAAAATTACCTTTATTTTTGTGATAATCACAGTAATGCTGGAAATAGTAGACATCAGAAACTAGAAAGTTTTTAAATAAACAATAAATTATCATTTTACGATGTTCTTTAATATCCCTTTATTCTTAAATGTTCATTCAGCAAGGACTAGATTTCAAGATTTCTGCCGTTGATTATAATATTTGGCTGGTATGCAATTTTGTGACTTACTGATCGGAAACCAGTTTTAATCATTCATTCTATGTTTTCTTTAGAACAAAAATGAAAATATAAGTAGCGACCATTTTTATACATTTTAACTTCACGCTATTATAAATAGTTTCTTCAATGACAACTTATTAGACTCAGGCAACTTCTCATACATTTTCCAGTAAATACTGTTGCCTGCCTATATTTTATTATTGATTTTTAATGATTATAGATAATTTTCTTTAATTTAAGCGTGAAAAATATATAATAATAATAATAAATTAATGTTTTAATTGTTTTATAAATCCATATACTTTTATTAAAACTAACATATATACTTTTTATTTACGAATTCTATTAAAAATTGTATTTGTCAGTATAGGCAGAAATACTCCTTTAATACCAAAACAAATTGGCGCTGCTGTCGCGCACGGAGCGAATACGGCATTAGCTCAGTTTGTTACGCACTGAACAAGCAGTCAAATGTGCATTTCGCGACGCGGTTCAATTCACGATGATTTTTTTTTAATGTTGGAAAAATTATGAAAACATGTACTATTGTTGTTCATTTATTTCAAATACATTTTATTTATAATAACAATATAATTATTATTATGCTGAATAAAGTGTATTTAAAATAAATAAACAGCAATAGTAATTATTATTATTATTATTAGTGAAGTAGTCCGACGGACATGTCCGGAAAAGTAGTGAAAAGCAGGCGCGTAACTTCCCAGATGTCGCTAGGTCCCCTTCAGGAAAAGAACACTTTTAACTTGCTTATATAAAAAATGGAAAGTAAAAAGCTAAAGTAGAAATTTGGGGAAATGGGGTTAGTGGCGTTTTAAATTTATTTTAATTCTATAGGTTTTTAGAAAAAATACGCACCTTTTGACCTCCCTACTTTTTTAGACAATGTTAAAAAATGTTAAAAATAGGGTGCCAGAGAAAGCCTATATCTGTTTTGCATTTTTTCGTCTGTTTGTATTTGTTTGTAAAAGCCTTAATTATATGCCCCAGAGGAAGGTCATAGTGAAAAATACAATGAAATTCGCTGTTTCAGTTCAAAATTGTAACATCCCCAGCCATTTTGAGATAAATGGCCGCATTCAGCAGAAGCAATCGATTTATGATTTTTTGCTGAATGATATATAAAAGAGCGATTAGTAATCAAATGATGAGTTATCGGCCGCCATTTAAAACATCGAATTTGAAATACGATTAGTTATCACATTGTGATTAGATTTAGAACTCATACCAACTGAAGTGAATGTTTTGTGGTAGTGCTCATAACTCATAACCTTATTTTATGTTTATTTTGAATTCATTTTTACACTGAATTTGTCATTTTTCACTGAAATGAAGGACTTTGAAGTGATATATGTTTATAACAATATGAAATATATTGTAGTTGGTAATGAAGTGTTGCACAATGCATTAAAAACAGGCAAATACATTAATTTATAATTATGTAGTTGAGTAATTTATTTGGTGTTTTATTCTAAATTTTGTACCTATGTTGATGATGACTTTTTTCTGAAGTACATGTCACTTTTATGTCGCCTGTCGAAGCGCCTAAAAAGTTCATTCAGGAGATTCACTAATCGATAAGTCATCGCTAAGTTATCGTTTGATAATCGGTTGCTTCTGCTGAATGCGGCCATTTGACTTTAAAAATTTTTCTTTACTAATTTGTAATTTATTATTATAATAAATAAAAAAATATATATTTTGATATATTATACTGTTGAATTATTGTAATTAATCTTGCCCTTCTAGCTGAGAATACATTCATATCTCAAACCCTAAAATTTTTAAGATGTTACAGTTTTAAACTGGGGCAGTGAATTGTTCTATTAACCTCAAACCACAGAACATTTGTTCAATATTTTTTTTACATTTTAAAACTTGTATTGTCGAGTTGTAAAATAGTAAAAAAATCATGAATAAATATTCAGTAGTTTTAAGTTAAGATCAATTAAAAATCCTCACTATGGACCTTCCTTCTGAAGCCTATAACTCAGTAATTAAGGGTTTCACAAATAACTACTAGCGGTCAGAAAATTTAAAAACAGATGTAAGATTTCAGTGGCGTCATGTTTTAAACTTAATTTCAAATTTCTAAAAAAAGTAGTGGGTTAAAGAGGTGCGGAAACCTAAAACCCTACAGAAATAAAATAATTTTAAACGCCACTTCATCTTATTGGTCACTTTATACTAACCTCCTATGTTAAGTCGTTTTAGAGTACGAGCACTAAAATTTCTACTCTAACACCCTGTAACTTTTTTACTACCATTCTTTATATATGCATTTTTAAGGGGTGGCAGGGGGTGGTCTACAAACGAAAATACTCGAGCACGGGTTTGTTCGAACGGATTACAGGTTGTTACAGATCGGTCGGCCCCTATATGGCTTGTAAAGCTGCTACTTCGGAATCCAGGCATCGTTCCAGGCGCCTGGCCTGATTAACGGTTAACGTTCTCTGGGACAGGGTTTACGGCTCGAGGCAGAGAGTTTTCGGTCGCAGTTATTTGAATTTTTCTTCCTTTATCACAGCTTTCACTGGGTTCAGGAGATATGAATTCAATCCGGTCCAGCACAAATGCTGAACAACTCAACGTACGGCCCTTCAGAACCGATGGTGTCTTTGGAGTTACTCTGCTGGTCGGGCGGCTGGTATTGGTTACAACTGGTAACCTGGATCTCTCGTTCTGTGATTTGGAGGGCGGAGGGCGATTTCTCCCCGATCTCTCAGCCTGTGGGTTGGAGGGTGGGGGGCGGTTTCTCCCCGATCTCCAAGATCTCTCATTCTGTGGTTTGGAGGGTGGTTTTACTCCGCCCTTCAGGACCTGTCGCTCAGCGGTTCAGGAAGCGGTTTTTTCCCGATACGGTTTGAATCAACGGCGTGCACCAAGGCACTTACGGCTATGGTATTCGGAGTTTTGGGGATGAACGGATGAGCTGACGGGTGCTCTATGTTCACAATAGGGTAGCGAGGTATCGACCGGGGTGCTGGAGGCATCAACAAGTCACCTACAAAAATGTTCCCACTTCCTAACTCTAATCGAACATCAAGTTTGGTTAGGATATCCATCCCAAGCACTAAGTCAACACTTAAATTGGGGAAGTGTCTGACATCCTCCACATTTGTTAGGCTGTCAACTTTCATTGGTACAGAGTAGGAATCCTGGACGCGGACGGTACGACCATCAGCCAACCTTGCAGAAGTGGCCTCTGCTTGTTTGGGTTGCTTTTAACTCGTGAGAAAACTAGCTAGGCGGTCTCCTAGATAGGATTGGGATGCTGCAGTGTCCACAAAGACTGAGAATGTATTCTCAACTATTTCCAACTCTATATGCGGCCGTGAGTTATCTTCAGTAAGCAGAACGGTCTCTCGGGAAGCTAGTAACGGCTGAAGCTGCCGGGGCTTCCTCTCCTGATAGCTTCGGTGGCGTTTCCCTGCTGGCTCTTAAACCTGGTAACGGGAAACAGGGTGCCGGAGCTGCTTGGTACGGTTTATAGATCTTTTTGCAAGAGCTCGCATTCCTTTACGGCTTGGCAAATGAAGGGCAAGTTATTGAAATCCGTTTTCCGGATTTGCTGCCTATACTCGGGTAATAGGTTGCGGTAAAGCCTCTCCAATTGCTGCTCATTGGTAAACGACCCGTCTCCTCATGAGGGTCCGAAGGGCGGTAACGTAGGAAGTGACGGATTCGTTCCTACGATGTAGTCGGCGGTTAAATTCGGCTTCAATGTCCAACTGGTAGGACACCGAGAAGTAAAAAATACGGAAATCGGCCTCAAAGGCCTCCCTAGTGGGCCAACTAGCCCTATTATTCTTGAACCATAACGCTGGTTCGTTGGTTAGCAATTTGGGTACGCTCGGCAGTAGTCGGTTTTTGTCATACCCTGGGAAAGACAAATTTCGTCCAAACGAGAGGTTCCACTCGTGCGTTCGGATAGGTGCGTGGGCCTAGCGGTGGGCGGTGGGGGTGTCATGGTGGTGCAGAACAGTGTTCACGGAGAAAAGAAAAGATAAAAAAAACATCTGAAGAAAAAGTGGAGGAAAAAGACAAATAAATATTCGGAGAAAAGAAAAGAGAAAAAAATACATACCATTCTTCCAGAGGTGGAAAACTCTTATCAGTATGATCCCTGCTCGGGCGCCATTTATGACAGGCTTCTGGTTCACCTACAGTGAATTACGAAGTCTGTATGGCGCTAAGATGGTGAATGCAGAATAGGGGTTGCTCGGGCACCAGTTTTGGTAACACAGTTTGCTATGCGACCCTGACCAGAGTGTACTCAAGATAAACTTAGTGGAGTTAAAAATACTTTTAGGCGGTCACTGCTAACGGTAGCCGCTAAATTAGAATTAAATCACTTATCTCCCTTATACCTCGTACCCTACGGTGCCCTGAAAAAAAAAAAAAAAAAAAAAAAGTTAAGATCCGCTAATAAAAGAAACACAGGCACTAAAAATATATTTACAAAAAAAAAAACTCCGGCGCCGTATTGGCACCCCCTGTATACAGAAAATAAATTCTCACTAAAATAAAATTTAAATAAATACAACAGTTCAGCAACGCTAGAAAATAATTGAACGGCAATTTATGATTCTCCCTGTATACAGAAAATAATTTTTAAATAAAGGAGGTTCTCAATTCGTTGGAATATTTTTTATGTATATTCAGCGATAATTCTTTACCACGTGGTCTGATTTTTATGATTCTTTTTGTTAGAAAGGTGTGGTCCTTTAGGGGAGGTACCATATAGATTTGGCCTAGTTCTAATAATTGGGTCCATGAGAAAATCCTCAAACTTTTAATTTTTTATGTATGTTCAGCGATAATTCTTTACCACCTTGTCCAATTTCTATGATTCCTTTTTTGTTATAAAGGAGGTATCTTAGGGGTGGTCCAATATAAATTTGGCCAAGATCTGGTGATGGGACTTATGATAAAATCAGCAAAGTCAATTTTTAATGGCATTGCACGATTTTGGAGTCGTTTTCTTTTTAAATTACTTTTATAACTTATTAAAGTTTCCAATTAACAATAGCAGGCCCACCCTAGCCCCATCCACAGGTCATATGGATAGTTACGCCTCTGGTGAAATTAGTCGACCTTCGGCATATAAAACTTAAACAGTTAAATGTTTCTCCATCCTGCATCCATTATCAAAAATACTTTGGGAAAATATTTGTATTTGCATTTTCGGTTTCGTTTTTTAGGCAAATCTTTGTAAAATACTTCAAAACTTTGATTTTTTTATTTTAATAACATATGTAACGAAAATTCGAAAACACCGTTAAAACAAATAAAAGTCAGTAGTCATTTGTCGAAATTTTACCTTTGTATGCAATTCGGCCAAATTATTTAATTTAATTTCACGTATGTGCAATACACTAAAAGTGTGTTTGGACAAATCAACTTTACACTCTAGTCATTCGGACTTGTCTGTAGACTTTTCCAAGCGACCCATTACTAAATATTATGATAAATAAAGTGCAAAAATAAATAAACAACAATCGTACGTATTTTTTCAGTTTTTATTATTTTCCAGAATAAAAAAAAAAGTAAAAAAAGATTGCATTCATCGTGAATCGGACCGCGCGTCGCGAAATGCACATGCGACTGCTTGTTCAGTGAGTAACAAACTGAGCTAAAGCTCCATATCAAGTAAGTTATCTTATCAAATATATGTGTTGTACATTTTTTTAGCAATATTTTTTACAACTTTATGTTGCCTCACGTCTCGTTTGCAGATGACACTTTCTGATGGTCCCGTCTATCACTTAAAACAATTCAAGCATGCGTGCGTGTTTGTAGCAAAGCCACAGTAAATAATTAGCTCTAGGCTTAAAACTATGGTATAACAAAAAAAATCCAAAATTCTGTTGTGTCTCTGCTAGCTACCACTGCCGCTAGTAGAAGACAATTTTTTTCAATGAAGGGATGGAGTAATAAAATTAAAATAATGGAAATAAATTAGCTAAAAATTAAGTTGTAGTACAAAATCAAAAATTCGGTTACGGCTCTGCTAGCTTCCACGTACGCTAGCAAAACCACAGTTTTTCAATTAAGGACAAGAGTAATTAAATTAAAATAGGCGTTAGTATATTAGCAATAAATAAGTTAAAAATTATGGGGTAGTAAAAAATAAAACAAATGGTTGTGGCTCAGCTGGCTTCCATGTGCGCTAGTAGAGCCACAGTTTTTCGAATGCAGCGAAGGAGCAATGAAATTAAAATAAGAGTAATGAATTAGCAATAAATTAACTAAAAATTGCTGCATAACAAAAAGTGAAAATTTCTGTTGTAGCTCTGCTTGCGTATACTACATGTTATATTGTCATTGTTGAAAAATTGCTATAAAACGTATAATTTTTTCAGGAATCTAAGGCAAATATAGGTATTTCAAATAAAGCAATTTTTGTTACAGGCAGTTGCATCCTTATCCACGGCCAAGTAGTCCACTACAGCGAAGCAAACAAATCTAGTAAACCTAGGCATGCGTATACCTTCCACGTTATAGAACAAAAAAATACGACTTATTCAAAAGACAACTGGTTACAGCCAACGAGAACGTTTTTAAATCTGTATAGAAATTAATATTGTATATCTAGAGAATTGTTTATTTGTATATAAAGTTCGGAAATTATATATTTTTCAAAGCAATTCTTTATTTTTTAACGCCGATCTTCTATTTTAACTGTTACAATGTAAAGCGAAACCCTGTATGACACAGAAGTCCCGCATGTAACTGGAAAGCAGCTATACGGGTGACAAATATCTTCTCGTGAATGCTTTAAAAATTTCTTCTCAACTCCAAAAGGCCCTAGTTTTCTTCTTTAAAATGATTTGTAACTATCTACTTTTTTCTAAAAACTTCCTATGTAAAACACTTTTTTCAAAAATGTATGTTCTTTTAGTAAAGCCCTCTTACTTTTTTTAGCTCTCGGTTGTTTTTAATGTTTGTAAGAAACCATCTCATCTGCTTTTAAATGTAGGGCGGACAAAGCTGCAATTAATTTAATAAAAGTGAATATTTGGAGAATAATTACTCTAAAATCTTACCAGTGGCCTTAAATTTCAGTTTAGGCGCAGTCCCTTTGTTTCTTCTAACGATTTTTGTCTATAAAAAGTAAAAATTGTTTGATAACAGCAAAACTACGGCTCGCACCAGACTTGTCAAAATTTTAAAATATTTCGGGTTATAAACAAAGTGTGATCCGAATTCAGCTCGGAGGCCGGCCGTACCCTAATCGAGGATGTTTAAAATAAACCATTCACAAATTAAATAAAATGTCCACAATAATCTATATTGAAATGCCTTCTGTTTTTGTATAGAATTTATAGTTCAAACGGTACTACTGGTCAAAGAAGCCCTATCGAATATCCTATCTGATCATGTACCTGGCACATGGCCTCTATTCAGCAGTCAGTATTAATATGGTAAAAGGCCAGAAATTTCCCGTTAACTTCCCATCAATAGGCCATTAATTGCCAATATATTTATTTTTAGACATTAAAGGGAAAATGGTGGCACATTAACTGGATTTAATGGCTAAGTGACTTCGGCCCGACTCTCGGCCGTAGTGACCTATATAAGCCTTTTAATTATAAAAGTTAAATGACCTTTATTACAATTTGAGCGTAACAGTTATTGGGCCTTTTATTAACCTGCACAAAATGTTTGCTGGGATTTATTGCAACCCTTAAACGTGTTATTTCTAGAAGGGACAATCCCTCTATAGTGATAATGCTACTAATTTTCAAGAAGCAAATAATTATCTAAAATATATTTATTCATTTTTCAAAAACACCTTCGAATTCAGCCTCAATTATTAATTTTTTATCCACTAATGAAATTCAATGGAAATGTATACCCCCTCGTAGTCCGCACTGGGGCGGAATCTGGGAATCTGCAATTAAAAGCTCTAAATATCATCTGATTAGAATCATATAGGAAAAAATAATACTACCCATACTTTCGAACAACTTTCTACAATTTTATCTCAAATCGAAGCTATTTTAAATTCGCGTCCATTATATGTAAATTCAAATGATCCTCTTGACGAACACCCAGTGACTCCAGGACACTTTCTTATTGGTACATCTCTTACTTCTTTTCCAGAAAAAGACAAATCTAATTTACCTACCAATCGATTATCCTTCTGGCAAAAATGCGCTCACATACAACAAAATTTATGGAAAAATGGTCCAAAGACTACTTAAATCGACTACAAAATAGACCAAAATGGTTAATTACCCAAACAAATATAAAACCTGATTATATTGTATTAGTAAAAGATGTAGAATCACCGCCTCTTGTTTGGCCGTTAGCTACGGTCTTAGAAACCTACCCCGGTAAAGACGCTAATGTTCGATCGCTCAAAATTTTATCAAATGGCATTAGCATAAGACCAATCACCAAGGTAATACCTTTACATAGGTATAACGACGTTCAACCTGAATGATAGTTGGCTAGTTAGCAGCTGATCATTTCACCGCCTTGTTTCAACTTTCCTTTTGTTTATTTTTTATCAACCAATAGAGTCAATTTTTCCTATTTCTTCTTCTAAGTCCGCAAACCACCGTATGCTGCGTTACGCGTTACAGGGCGACACCCGTCAGTGCGAATCGGTGAGACCCACCCCTGGCCTGGATCCTAGAGGCACAAGTGGGGGCCCGGCAGCTTTATGTTTTATTTTTTTAAATATTCGCCAGAAAAGGGAGGAGCGCTGGTTTATGTAAAATACAAGATGAGGACCTTTTTTAGAGATTTCATTAAAAAGGATCTAAGTTTTAGCTTGAGGATTTTTTTTAGGAATGTGGTTATAATATTGTCGCGGGGCCCCACCTGGAAAATTATCCCGATGCCCGATCTGGCTCTCGGCGGCCCTGCGTAAGAGGTATCTAGCTATTCAGTGCCCAAACCTTAATGTACCCAGACAACACACATAGTCCAATAGACGTCCACTTTGGATCCATTTGAGGGCCAGAACGTCCATATCCGTATTTGGACATCCAGTGGATGTCCGTTTATAATCATTAATTTGACAGCTGTATATCGATGTTCAGAGGACGTTTGTTTATGGACTTAATTTTAAGTTTAGTAATATTTTGACGTCCAGTGGCCGTCCATCTTAAGCCTTGGTTTCTTTGAACACTCCGTCGCGGTGAGCGGACAGTCCGTCGACCGCTGAGGACAGCAATTTTCGCCTGAAGCCTTGGTTTCTTTGAACACTCCGTCGAGGTGAGCGGACAGTCCGTCGACCGCTGAGGACAGCAATTTTCGCCCGAGGTGGTTTGTTAAAAAATATAGAAAATTATACTTTCTCTATGTCTGTACGTGCTGTTTATGTATTATGAATGTAAACGAAAGGTACTAAAATGGATGCAAATAAATTGTTTGCGTTGTTATTATTGTTGGAAGAGGAAAAACAAGAGGAACTGGCAATTGCAACCGTCAAAGTTTCCAATAAGCCAGTGGATGAGTTGTTTTTGTGTTGCGATACATAAGGTGCCTTTAATATCACTGTGCAGCTGAGGCTTTTTGGAAATGAAACCAAATTTAGGGAGTATTTTAGACTTTCTTTTTGAATTCGTGTTGAGTTTTATAAAGGCCATAATTTCCAAGAAACCTAAAAATAAAGTCATGATTTCATCTGTATGTGTGAATTTGTCACTTATTGTTTTAAAATTAATAACAAAATATAGTCCCGCACACGCCGACGATTCCGCTGATATCAAACTCAACAGGTATCAACCGACTCTCCGCGACAAATCAGCGGCATGACGCCGTCCTGCTCAGTTAAGCGGATTCAAGAAAACCATTCCCATTTAAATACTCTGGTTGGATAAAATCGTCAAAACGCGACGGTTGACGGACTGTCCGCTAACCGCGACGAAGTGTTCAAAGAAACCAAGGCTTTAGGTCATTTATTTAGCCTACCAGATAATACCCATCTATATATTTTTAATAGAATTGGTCATTAAAAATTGACAAATTCAATCTATTATATTTCATTCTATCAGCGGAAATTTGAAATCTTATTCTATTATAACCGTATCTAGTAAAAAATTTTCAAGTGGCTACTTGGTCGAGGTCGCCTAGCGCTTGAATGCCCAGAAAGATAATGGTCGTGTCATGAGTTCGATACCTGCTCTGCTCTGGTCAAGTGATTTTTAATAAAAAAAAATTAATAAATGGTGTATAGCGAGTTGCGAAAATATTAAATAATTTATTAATATTATAAAATAGTGTGTGGTCCAGACATCCAAAATTATATATCGAATGGACGTCCAATGGACCTATTTGTGCTGTCTGGGTTTAATTTAATGATTGATGGCAATTAACAGCCATAACCCGGGGGTTGTTTGGGGAAAAATAATAATAGGAGTCTCGGACAAATAATTTTTCCTCGAGTTCGGCAGATCTTCGTTTATTCTATTTCTACCTTCTTTCTCTTCGACTTTTTATAAAATGTACTCTATAATGAGATATTATATAGGGTGATCCTAGAATAGGATACATGGGTCGCTATACCCACATTACTAATTTTTATTTATACAGAGTGATCCTCCCATAGAATTACTAATTTTTATTTCTACAGGGTGATCCTCTCATAGGACACTCTTGGGTCGCTATACCCATTTTACAATTTTATTTATACAGGGTGATCCTCTCATAGGACACTCTTGGGCTACCATACCCTCATTTCAATTTTTTTTTCAATTTATACAAGGTGACTCGTCTTATAAGACACTCGTAGGTTGCTATATCTATTTCATAATTTTATTCACTAATAATACAAAGTAATCTCTACAACGAGACACTTTCAGGATTACCATATCCATGTTATTTTACTTAGGGAGGATGTTTTTTTTTTAATAGTTTTATTTACATTTTCTAGGACATTTTATTTCCTATTACCCTGGAGTTATTATCCTTTGCTCCGTGCGCGCTCTTTTTTGGCGGTACTGGTATTAGGTGGTTTTATTTTCTTATTAAGAAAGATAACATAATAGTATAAGAAAGCTAAAAATAAAAGTAAAAACATAAAATTTTCATAAATGAAATTTTTGTTTGTTTTAAAAAAATTTAAAATTCTAATATCAAGACATAAAATATAATATAGTTAAATAACAAAAATGTATATGCACAACACCAAGTACAAATATGACAATCTCAACAAATATATAATATACACACAAATTAAAACGAGGTACTTAATTCAACCGATCAGACAAATTCATCCAATTTGTAGTAGGCCTTCTCAAGCAAGATTTTCTTAGCATGCTTTTCAAATATTTTTAATAAGTCGGCACTTCTTATATTAATTGGCAGGTGGTTAAACATCTTCTTCCCGCTATACACAATAGAGCCGTATACCAAATCGGAAGATGGTATACGGGCAAGGGAAGGTAAAATATTCCTAGAGTATAGCTGGAGGTAATATTACATTTATATTTTTTAAAAACTAAAAGTACCGTTTCTAAAATAAATAGACAAGTAAGTGTTACTATATTGTAGTGAACTTATAGCTTATAGCATATCGCAGATGGGATTCTACCAATGAAAAGTATACACTCCTTGCAAACGAAAT